CTCAAGCCATCCCCTGTGCCTAGAATGTCTTTCCCTGCTCAGCTTCCCTGGCTGAGTCCTACTTAATCAACAAGGCAGAACTCGAATGTTCCCTGGACACACTTGGGTGTAAATCATAGCTCAGGTCTCTGTGCTTCTGCAGGTTCTCGATACGCCTTGATTCCCCTCCCCTCATCACTCTGCATTGTGATTTTAATTGTCCAGCTCCTCGGCCAGGCCAGCGTGTGGCTCCCTGCAGGCGGTGACCGTGTCAGACTCATTCTGATTCTCCAGGGGCAGTGCAGTACCTGGTTCGTGACGGACACCTAGTGTAGGTTTGTGGGAAATAATTGAATGGCCTTGAACTTTTACTTGCTTGTATTCACATGTCCCTTCTTTCCACCCAGGCCTTAAACACCTAGAGAGTAGGTGTGATTGATTTCAGATTCTTTTTGTAATCATTATTGCTTTCTGACTTCCCCCCTGTCCCCCGTGCCAGCCTGCGCATGTTATTGGGTGTGATAAGTAGCTTTTGGATGAGAGAGGGGGTGATATTCATTCTTCTAGCTCCAGAGCTCACCCCGCTGTCGTCTGTCTCGCACGGACACACTGTCAGAGAATATTTTTATCATCCTGTCGTGCTTAGAAAGCACGGGCCCTTGATCCAGGTCATTTCTAAGTCAAAAGCGATACAGTCTCCTGATCCCGGTGCTCAGAGAAAATCCCTGGCAGAGCCTCCTGCTTCAGGGGATGTGGCATGTGCTTTTGCAGCGCATCTTGCACACCTGTGGGGTGACAAAAGGCAATTTAACACCTGGCCGGGCCTCCCTTGTGGCTCTGCAAGTGGGTTCATGGGACGTCAGGTCCAGTGTTAAGAGTTGGAGCCCACTGGTGTTACAGAGAATGAGCGCCTTGGGCAACACGCTCTGCTGGCTACTTGGTTCCTATCCACAGGGGCAGACCCGGCCAGTTTGCATTCCAAAGCCGGGCTTCCCTGGTGATAACACACCTTCTCTTGGTCCTCTCTGGCCTCCATTATGAAGGGGAGGGCTCCAGGGCTTGGTGATGGGCAGCTGTTTACTGGATCTGTCCACTGGGAGTGCTAGAATCCTAAATGCACTTGTCATGTGGCCTCCCAGATCTACGTGTCTATCGTGCAATGGGACCCAAGAATCTGTAAAGCATGCGCAACATGGAATGAACATGGAAGACAACCCGAAATATGAAATGAAATACATTGGATATACCGAACCCATTGAGTTTAATGACTACTATCCTTTCAAGTAAAATACTGTACAGTCTGGCTATGATGTCAACTTCCCATCTCTTCTCTTTTGGGAGCTGGTAGCGCCCCCTGAGGCCAGACCAGACAGGGCTTGTCAGTGTTTCAGTGGAGGGAATGGAGGCCTGGAAACTCAGGGCAGTGAAGTTGCATCTCACTCTCAGTTACCTGATGCAAAGTCAATGGGAGAGAGAGAGAGAGAGATGAAGACAACAGGAGAGGAGAGAGAGCAGCTTACGTGGGTTGGTGATCGTGCCTGCCATTCTCAGCGAGCTCCTTCCCAGGCATGCGTGAGAGATAGCCATGACGCTTCCTTCTCTGCCCTCGGTCATGGTTCCTGTGAGTCCCTTACGTGCTGATTCCCTGGTCGTGATCCTGGTGTCTATGGAGGTGTGCTTCTTACGTACAGCCTCTTTATCACATCTGGCCCGTGATGGGATCGTTATGCATAGTAACATCTTTTCCTGAGCAGGACTGTATGTACCCAATATTGAAGGCAGCTGTGGTTTATGACAGTTTAAGGGACCCTTGGGGGGAAATTTTAACAGATTTTTCTTTTTTTTTTGCCTTATGGTTCGAACTTCAGACCCCAATCTCTGGGTCAGATGTAACTCCACTAAAATGCTAACAGTGCTGATGAGGATGACATAAATGATAATGTTAGTCATCATGCACTGTGTATCTGCTCAGCCCAGCCACCATGACAGATGCGTTCCATCAACTGGCTTCATTTCTTCTTCATGACAATTCGACATATGAGATATTAGGATGTTTTTGATGCCATCTTTTTAATCGAGGTGGACATTTCATAGAATATGCCCTAGTGACTCTTTTCATGTGTGCACAGTTGTGTGACCCTCACCCTGAATGACATGCAGAACTCTGTCCCTTCAGCAAGTTCTCCCATGCCCCTTCCTAGTCATCACTGTCCCCAGCCCAGGTGGACATTATTTTGACTTCTAAGACCAAAGCTTATAGTCTTATGTTCTAGAACTTCATGTAAATGGAATAATACAATAGATACTTTTTAGTGTCTGGCTTCTTTCCCCCAACACAATGCTTTTGTTGTGTTTATCAGTAGTTCACTTTTTTATTCTTGTGAACTATTCCATTGTATGAACGTACCACAATACATATATATCTGTGCATCAATCATTATTATTATTTTTTTGATCGTATAGATGAAAAAATGGATCAAGGTAAGGTATGTAATGTCACATCGCTGGCCAGTGGTACAGCATGGATTTGAAGCCAGGTCTATCATATGACAAAGGCTCTTAGCCACTGCCTCTGTGTGGGGGGTCACGGCAGCTCCAACTTTCTAGTTCTAGAAGAGAAGGCTGCACAGGGCAGATGAACAGATGGAGACTGAATACAAGCATGTTGACCACACAATGCAATAAATATACCTATACCACTAGTCATTATGCTGCCTCTTCCCAGTCAATGTTTTGCAGATGGATTAAGCCTTGAAAATTCAGGCATTTCTCAGGATAGAAGGCTAGGCTCTTGCTAAAGCCGCAGTGTCCATTCCTTTACTCTTGATTCCTGAATTTAACAGAAGAGGTATTACTTTGATGTTTGAATCGTGCCTTTGATCAAAAGCTGGCTGGGTCCCTCGTGTCTCTTAGAACAAGACAGTAGTTCCATTGTGCTGGCGTGTGTTGTAACATTTTGGACAGAAGAAATGACATTTACATGAAACAGCCATCCTTGGAATGCACAAGATAAGACAATTTCAACAGCTCATCGGAGAAGAGTCCCCGGCGTTGACTTTAAATCAAACAGAAGTAATAGTGTGTCATCCTGCTTCCCCTTCTCTACCTGGTGTTAATTAAAATCCTGATATCAGAACTCAGTCAACATCCGTAGGAGGAAGACCAAAGCACAGCTTTAAAATGTTCAGATGAAAGTACAGTTAATCAGAATTAAAACAAAAACACCCCCTACACAGTCTTCACTCTCATTTGGCTTCTACTGGATGGGATGATTAATAGGTGAGGGTAATTTCTGCGGACCCCCCCCCCACCGTTGCACTTCCTGAACTGAACCGTTTGAAATAATTGAACAATTACTTTGTGCAATGTTATCAAAGTTTATTAAATTGCTCCCATCAGCTCTGTCCAATTACCAAATTTGGCTGATTTGCATATTGCAAAGCAGAGTGGTGAAAATTGTTCCCAGAGTAGAACCTAGTTATTTTCGAGCAGAGAGAAGTTGGAAAGTTCATTTGGTTCAAATCCTTTTTTTTTTTTTTCTTACAGGTTAGGAAGCTGAGGCTCAGAGGGAGGAAAAGACTGGCCTAAAGTTTATACAAGGTACAGACAGGGCAGCTCTGTGTGCCCCTGATCCGCAGCCCCCCAATCTGCCTGCATGGCTCCAAATAGGCAAACCCTACGTTGTCCTCAGTGAGGCTGGGGTGTGCCTCCAAGTCCCTGACTGTCTCAATTAGTTCCAATTTAGACGTGACGTTGAGCACCCACTTACAATGCAAATCAATTCTGACAGGACAGGAAGTAATAAAGGCAGATTACTCCATTTCAATTTACGAGCTCAAGGAACTTGATTTTGTTGAAGTGACAGGCTGAATAGTCCTAAATGAAACATTGTCCTTTCTTTGGGTGCAAAAAACTAACTTTAAAACACCCTCCATCTCCATCTCTGTCTCAGAATCTTCCTCTTTGATCTCATTCGGACATTGCTCTTCCTCTTCAACTTTTATTCTGGAAATTTACCGACACACGGACAAGCAAGAGAATCATAAAACATACCCCCACATAGAACCATTGTGTAGTTTGACAATTACCAAACAGAAGGCTGGTTGTGTTCTGTCTCTGTTCTCAGACTTCCACAATCACTGCATAATTTTAAAGCAAATCACAGGCATTACAATATTGTATCCATAATTTCTTCAGTATGGACCTTGCTTTTTTTTTTTTCTTTTCTTAAGGTCACTATAATTTGCGTCAAAAATGTGTGCCCTAGGAAACTTTTCTAACACACAGAATCTAAAGGATGTATTTCAGATTGTAGTTTTTTCCTTATTCTTTCCCCCCCCTCTTTTTTTTTTTCAACAAACATGTATCATTTGTGTAATTAAAAGAAAAGGACGTGGTTGTTTAAAGCCATCCATAAAGAGAGCACGAGAGAGGCTGGATTCTCATTAATCAGATTGTGGGAAGATGTAGCAAGGAAGAACAAACGACCCTTGCCATGTGGTGGGGAGGGGACCTGCTTAATCAAACTCAGTGATAATGAGAGTGAGAGTGATTAGACCTTTTTGATTCCATAAATGTTCAAGCACTCACTCTGGGCCAGGCATTATGCTGCTTGCTGGGATCACTATCATGAGACTAGAAAAAACAACAACAACAACAACAAACATTCGAGACTCTTGCTCCTCCAAGTGGGGCTTATGGTCCGGGAATGCGTTATAAATGCAGATTCTCAGGCCACGCTACGGACTTCCTGAATCAGAGCTGTCTGCAATACTCTCGCCTCCCCAGGGACTGGGATGCGCAGTAGAGTCTGAGAAGCGCTGGGCTGGAGCAGGGCATCCTTGACCGCTGGGAGTGTCTCATTTTGTTTCTGTTTCCTCACCTCCCTTGGGACCTGTCCCGGAGGGGACGGTGGAAATGTCCAAGGTGCAAACTGGCACTTGAAGTGGGTTCTTGATGCACCTTTGTTGACCAAGTGCATGGGTGACTGTCTGCACACGCCACTTCTGCTCCTGCCCGCGGCCTCGATGGACTCGCCGCTGCCAGGGAAGCATCTCCAGACACCTTGGCAAAGCATTCGAGGCCCAGGACAGATCAGGCCCCTGCGACACTGGTCTTCGCATTCCGTAGCATTCATCCATCTTCTCAACTCTCTGCCTTCATCCCCACTGTAACTATTCTGAAAAGGCTGTTCCACACTTTCCTTGTTCTTTAAAGCCCGGATGCCATGCCACCTCTTCCAGGAAGCCTTCCAGGGATAGTCCAGCCAGCAGATTCTCTTTCTTCACCTCATTTCAAAGGCCTGTCTGTGCCATCCACTTGTCCCTTCTGCATTTGTGCTGTGAACAATCTTCCACTCCTGAAGCCTCAGCTTCCTCCCTTGTAAAATGAAGATAATAGTTCCTTCTTCATGAGGCTGTCTTGAGGGTAAAAATCACAAGTGTATAATAAAGCACTTAGGGTGGTGTCTGCTTGGTATATTCCAGGCACTGTTCTATGCTTATTAACATTGGGAAACATTAAACTTCACGACAATTCTATGCGACAAGTACTATTAGCCATCTTTCACAGATGAGGGGACAGAGACACAGCAGTGGGGGTTTTTAAACATAATTTTTAATTAAGAAAAGACCCTACTCAAGTGTTTAACAAAAAACACAGCTCAGGCATCACCCTGTCAGCTGGTCAGCTGAGTCCCTTTCACGCACTCACAGTATATTGCACTTATCACATCCAATGGCACATAATTTATTTTTCATTTTTTTTCTCCTAGTAGTCCCACTGTGTGTAAAGACACATACAGACAGAGTCTCTGGCCATTGCACACAGCTGGAGCATAGTAGGCTTACAGTGGCTGTTTGTCGAAATTATCTCTATTAGCTTGCTTAACACTAATAGTCACCTTACAGTGTTTTGCAATAAAATTTAAATTTAGTTTTGCCCCAAGCTGGTGGATTGGAACCCAGGCTCTCTCGGGCTTTGAAGAGTTCTAGGAAACGGTCTCGGAGGCTTATTGAAGCACCGCGGCATTGCTGCGGGTCGGCGTCAGCGAAGCCTCTCCCGGTCTGATGTTTCAGCAGAGGAAATTTGGGTCCATAACCCAGCAAACCGATCATAGATAAGATATTTGCCATCAAAGGCCCGCTGATGCAGGCTGGGAGGTGATGTAGTCAAATGCGGTCCCTGGTTTGGTGAGACAATAGTTGGAAACCCAGCCTGGGTATTATTGCAGCGAAGGAGGCTGCTTTCAAAAGAGGGTTTTTGGAAACTTATTTTAAGCTGGGAAGCAGACTGAGATAAGGGCCGGGTGGGTGGGGAGGCCGTGCATCTGAAGAATGCATCTGCCGTGGTTTCGGGAGGGGCCGTGGAGACGCTCGGAGGCTGGCGGGAAGGCGGAGGCTGGTGGGAGGATCAGCGGTGTCAGCTGGGGCTCGGTTGGAGGATCCTTGGAAATCACAAAGAAGAGATGCTTTATATGTTACAGGGAAGGAAAAAAAAATACAGCTGGGGAGCCTGGCTGCCGGATACCAGCAAGGAAGTGGGAGGAGAGAGGGGGGTAGGGAAGGAAGGTGTGGGTGGAACATCCTCTGTTGGGTGGGGAGTGGGGTTCATCACCTCTGAGGTCACACTGGGGGGTGCAACCTGGAGGAGGGGCCAGGGCAGGGCCTCCTTGTGCCAGCCACCCACCTCGGCACCTACTCGCCACCCACTCCCCCTGGCCCTGGCCAAACCAGCCCGCCTCACCCTCCCCTGTGCAGCACAAAGCCCTGGACTCTGTGTACCCAGCTGGGCTTTTGCAAAAACCTCTTAACTGAATCATCCTTCAGGGCCCAGCTCGAATGCCCCATCCTTTATGGACATGTCCTTGTTTCCATTTTAACAAGAGCAGACATGGCTGCATTAAAGGAATAAAGGCTTAACCACACCCCAAGGCACAAGGTGGAGAGAACTTCGTGAAAGGTGTAGGAAAGGAAAACTGACATAGACTGTCTATGACATGCTATGGAATCCACCGACCTGATCATCTTTTGACAGTTCAAGGATTCTAAGAAGTAGAGGCAACTGTGGCCTAGGGTGGTTTGATGGCTTGCCTAAGGTTCCCCAGCCAGCGTGGGGCAGAGCTGGGACTGGAACGTGTGTCTTCTGAACTCCAAGGCTTATGGGTGTTAGGCGGTGTCCTTAGCGGCCCTGAAATGCTGGCGTGGAGACAGTGCTCAACTCTTCCAGTGGTGACAGTCCTGTTTATCTACAGGTTGAGAATGAGGAGTCCTCGGCCCTAAAATGTCCCCAGTCACCCTTCAGTGCTGCAAGAAGCTGTTAGCGCAGTTATAGGGTAAAGATATTTTAACAAAAGTTTTCAATCTCCGGGGTTGGAAGATTATATGTTTCTTGGTCAAATCTCAGGAAGGCAGAAACTTCTGACACCTGCACTTCCTGGTTGCTGAGCATTGTGGGTAAAGGTGGGCTCGTGCACCTGCAGCCAGGAGTGAGATACCTGTCCCTGCCCTCCTGCCCCAGACCTTCAGACTTCATAATCTCCTTCTCCCCTTTTGGCCTGGATGGCTCTCACCTCTTCTTTAGGTATCAGGTTGGACATCACATCCTTGGGGGAGACTTTCCTGAATTTAAACACCCTCATGCTCTCTGTCTGTCTCCTCCATGGCTCTTGTCTCCACTGCAGCTACACTGGAAAGCAAACGAGAAGGGTTTGTTTAATTGCCACCTCCGCGGCTGCACTGTGGGGGCCACGAGGAGAGGAACTGTGTTATTGTTGCCTTTGTTCTTTGGCTCAGCTCCTTCTCCGCGCCTGGCACGTTGCAGTCAACAAATCTTTGGGGACTCAAGACCAGCAAGTGGCAGATGCTCAACACCTTCTTGCTGGAGAAAAGAATGGCACGTGGGCGGCTCTGCTGCATCTCTGCCACTAGGGGGCAGAATCAGGAGACGCATGTGAGACACCCGTGTCCAGGACGCTGCAGTCAAGGAGGGGGTGTTTTCTTCTTGGGGTGCAGAGGAGGTCCTGTGAAAAAAGGGGAACACACAAAGAAGGGATGCAGAAAAGGGGCTGTGGGGGAAAGAAATCAAGGCCCCTAGGGTCTGGTCCTAACTCAGTCTTCTCATCTGGAAAATGGGCATTTGGACAAATTGACCCTTAAGACTCCTCCCTGGAACTGTTAGTTGATCAAGGCAGCAGGATGGGGTTTAAAAAATGGCCTAAACTGAGGGATGGAGCTGGAGGTTTACTCTGAACTCTTTTAACTCATTCCCTGAGTGATTTGGGGCAAGGTACTTGCCCATTCTGAATTCCAGTTTGCACATCTTAAAATGGGGCGCTTGAGTGAGACAATCTCCAAGACAGGCTTCTCTATCAGATATATCATGATTCAAGGCAAACCAGAGGCCCCAGAAATCCTGATATGACCCACCTTGTTTCTTCTGGTCTGCATAAAATCAAGTGGGATGGTTAGTTATTTCCTTTCTCCAAGTAAGATTCTTCACATTTAAAATATAGGTGGATAGCTTAGCATGGAAATATGCACACTCCAGGGGCAATCAGAAGGCTTAGGTTTCTGTCTTGACTCTACTGCAATCTGCTGTGTGACCTCAGGTTAAGTACTTTCCCTCTCTGAGCCGTAGGAGTTACATTTCCAATAAAGAGCAAGTAGGTAATGTGGAAGGGCCCTTTCAGCTAAACCATTATTTGGCTTTAAATGGTATATGGAAATTCTACCACACAACCAAGCTAATAAGCCTTGTTAAGGCCACCTTGTGAGAAGGGAGCCCCTTACCTGGTGGTGCCCCACTCTGGGCACCTGGGTCTGGACCCCAGGAGTCATTTGGGGTCTACCCAGACATGGCTTGGTTTTGTTACAGCATCTAGAGGGAGATCTTTTCTTTAGACTTAGTGAAGGCTTTGGCATGATACGTTATTGGTGCCCCAGTCTACACTGGCACGAGAACTAGATACAAACTTATGTGCCAAGAACCCAGCTGACAATGATTTTGGACCCTCGCTCCTTCTCACCAAAGATTCAAGAGACACATAAATGTGTGCCTGGGATAGAGAAGAAGCGATCACCCAGACGGCATTCTTCTTCCCTCAAGTTCCATGGATTTTCTTCTTCCTATTCAATATAGTTCTTGTCATACTCAAGCCACTCATTCATTCTGCTAATGTTTATGAAGCACTTACTCTGTGTGCCAAGCGCTGTTTCAGAATACGAGGCTGTAGCAGAGAAGAGGACAGACAGAGATCCCTGCCTCGCAGAGCTTACCTGCTCGTGGGAGGAGACAGAGAATTGGCCAATGGGTGGATCTAGAACATGGTAGGTGGTGGTAAGTGCCAGGAGGACCCTATAGCAGAAAATGAAAGCAGAGGTGCTGGCAGGTGCTCTTTTGTGGGGTGGCTGGGCAGGTGAGGTGAGGTAAATGAAATGAGGGAGTGAACTCAGAAGGGATTTGGCAAGAACACTTTCCTGCCTTGGGTTTTAAGAGGCCTCTGCATCTCAAGGATTCAAGAAGCCCGTCTTCTGTGTCTCCCTAATATCCAAATGCGAGGCGGCAGCTTTCTGTATCTCTCTCCAATCTGATGCTCTAGTTTCTGTTTTCTTTGAGGACCAGTCTGTCTGAGAGATAGGTATGCTCTCCTTGCCTTGAAGGAACGGCCATGTCTTGGGTACAGTCTGTGCTGAAGGGGAATCTGCCCCTTGGGCAGAAACATGGCCGCCCCCATGTCCTCTGCGCAACACCACTTCGCTTCCCCTGGAAACAATGTCTCAGAACTTGAGGGCTGATCACTTTGCACCCAGTGTCGTGAGTGTTTCAAAATGATCTTTCGGGATAATTCACTCATTAATGTTCATTAAATGTTTGAGGGAGCTTCAATGCCTGACAAAATGGCCAGTGTGGAATTACTGGAGCAGGAGACGTTGGCATATAAATGAGGGCTTTTCTAGTCTGCACACCTGGCTGTGGGGAGAAGGACACCCCGCATCATGGTGGGGATACTCATCAGGAGACGCGGCAATCTCAAGTGCCAGATATTTGGCTCTTGTGCTTGTCAGTGATTCATGAAGTGATTATCAACATTTGAAACCACTTCATGAATCACCCAGGAGCTGGAAAAAAGATTTAGCCATAATGAGCTCATTTCCATAGAAATAAGACCAGACCCACTAGTGGGTCGGATAGTTGCGGTGGCTTAGACTTCACACCCACCCCCTCCTGCCACCTCCTCATATCTGATGGGCTCATTTTAGGGCTCATTATTCTTCATCTTCTTGGCCTCATCATTGCTTTGCTCCCTAACTAAGACCTGCTGCCTCCAGGACTCTGGAAAATGGTGGAATAAGAGTCTATCATTGGTCAGCTTGGTGGTGGGCATCTTTTGTGGTCAGCTATATGCTGAACTGTGCCCCCACCAGATTTACCTGTGGAAGCCTTCACCTTCAGTAGCTCAGAATGTGACTCTATATAGAGGTAGGAATCAAAAAAAGAGGTAACTAAAGTAAAATGAAGTCAGATGGGTGGGACTTAATCCGATATGCCCGGTGTTCTTATAAGAAGAAGAAATGTGGACACAGACATGTACAGAGGTAAGACCACATGAAGAAACAGAAAACATGGCCACTTACAAGCCAAGGAGAAAAGTCTTAGAAGAAACCAGTCCTGTCAACATCTTGATCTCAGACGTCCAGCCTCCAAGACTGTGAGAGAATAAATTTCTGTTGTTTAAGTCACTCAGTCTATGATACTTTGTTATGGTAGCCCCAGAAGACTAACACAGGGGCCTCAAATGCATAGTTTTCTTGGGAAGCATTTGTGCATCCAAACTTTATTGACAAGGTTGTACTGGCCAGGTGCCTTCTATGGAGGCCAGTTAGTTCCTTCCCTTAGAGGCTTACCACCTCCTCCCCACATTGCTTGAAGTATTCTTTGATATAGAACCTTGTTAGAAACAAGCCCATTTGAACACCTCAGGCTACTGGGGGCCTCCTTACTAATGGACTAGTTTCTCCAAGGTCTTTGGTTCTCCCTAAAAGCAGATACTAAGACAGATACTGGGTACACTGTATTTATAAGAAATATTATAAGAAAGTGATAAGACATGGAAGAGAGCAAAGCTAATAAACGGGGTGTCAATGATTGACTTTCTGCTGTGAGCAACTGGGCTCATACTCACTAGGAACCGTGAGAAGAGTAGGTGGGATATACTTGGGATTACCCTGCTGAGGGCCAAGGAAACTGGGGCATTGATTCACAAACTTCCATCATTGGTGGAGGGTTTCATGTAAAGCATTAACTCTCCTACACTCCGGCTTGTCTTCTATGTGGGTCAAGAATACTCCAGAAGCCAGCAAAAGCCCTCCGGCAGAGAGATGGAAGAAGACACTGGAATGCATAGGAATGTGGGCACGTGAACCCCACAGTGCTCTGAGGGGCTCAGGGATGGCACCGATAGATAGTGCGAGCTACACAAAGCCCCTTCCTCCCAGACTCCCCCTTCCATGGGCTCTAGTATGTTCTACACCGAGCCCACCCAAATGCAAAGCACTTTCCCTCTCTCTCTCTTTCTCTCTGGCTGGGTTTTCAACTCCTCTCTAAGAAGCATTTGCTCTGTTAACGCCCAGCATCTGGTTCAGATGCGGCACTTCAATAGGGCTACTTCCGCTCCGCTGGACTCACCACTCACCTAGATGAAAGATGGAGCCTCGTAGAAACCAGAATGAAAGGATTCCACGGCCAGGTCTCTTTTCTGTTGTCAGATCTCTGCATCCTGTTGCTTCAGAGAATCCTGGGTTATCCAAGTAGCACAGCAGCAGGGTGAAGAGGTATTTCTGGAGCAATAGCTATCATTTCTCAAATAGCCGTATTTGAAAGTGGTGCCCTTCCGGGTTCTATTCCACTGGCCTCTTTGAAGGAGACTGTAATATAATTTCAAGAAGATTGTGTTCTCTGAAGAGTTCAAAAAGTATTTCAATATGGCTTCCGAAAGTCCAGATTTGGGGGCTGGGGGAGGATCCCAGATGTCATTTGTGTCAGGTTCATTCGATTTTCCTGTCTGAGAAGAAAACATGTCAGAAATGATGGCTGAACTTCTGATGTCGAGGACAAGCCACCAGGGACACTGTGTGGTGACCACAGGAGGGTGAGGAAGAGAGGGGTGTGATTAGGAGTTTTCAGAGGTTGGATAAAACACCCGAAAAAAAACCAAATAAAACAACTCTGACTGCAAGAGGGTTGAACAGACTCCATGGAGTCCCTATTAGACTGTTCATTTGGGTTTCCCCCAAATCAGAGTTGGAGACAAGGGTCTGGGTGCAGGTGGTTTATTTGGAAGGTGACCCAAGGATGTGCAATGACAGAGGAAAGAAGGCAAGACAGGGAAGGGAAGAAAGCCAAAAATAAATAAATAAATAAATAAATATATAAATAAAGAGCCTACGAGCAAGCTGGTTATTGATGAGGGTGGTGAGTTTCATTCCCACTTGCGACCTTATGAGAAACAGTGGAGAACACACTGCATAATTGTCCCACAGAAGATGGGGAGGCTGAGAAATTGTCTATTCACTTGTGTCCTCCAGCAGTTGAGATGTGTCCTTGGGCATATTGACCCCCCTGTGTTTCCTCTTGCTTATAAGCCAGCGGAGCAACCTTCTATGGGGTCCCCTTGAAGGAAGACATTGGTGCCTCCAGGGAACTGTCCACCACAGCTGTGCTGAAATCATGGGTGGCAAGAGGATGGGGTGCAGCATGTCACAGGCCTCTGCTGTAGACCTTTGGTTTGAAGAATTAAGCTTCATTCGTCTCTCTCATCTAGTTCATTCACATGTGAGCACCTGTTATGTTCCAGGGACTGTACAAGAGTTGGATGCAGAGTGTTGAACTTCCCTACTCCCATTTCTCGGGCAGCTTGCAGTTAGAGGGGAAGGCAGAGAGACTTATGTAATCACAAAGTACTCAGAACCACAAGCCAGCTGAGAGCAGACCACAGGGCCCTTTGCTATCTTCATACACACTTGGAAAGTAGATCTAGAGAGAGTCCTTCTGGAAGGGGCTCTGCTGTCCATCCTGGTGTGGGAAGAATGGCACATGTATGGATGAGAGGAGAAGAAGCTGGTCTTTCCACTCTCATGAGATTATTTGCTCAGTGGCAAGCAGCTCCTCTACTCTAGCTCTCAAATAGAGAATGGACTTCCTGACGATCAAGGAAGAGAGCTGGCAGTGAAGGAGGACTTCCTGGTGGGTCAGAGTGTTCATACTCACACATACTTCCAAAGAGGTCCCGAGGGTAAGCCAAGTGCAGATTGGAGAGAACCAAAGTCTACACGGTGAGCCTCACTTGGGGGAGAGGAGAGGCACTGTTTGCCATCCATGGAGCTGGGAAAGCCAGGCAGAAGGGCTGGCTCTGAGGACAGGAGGAGGAGCCCAGCTGTGGCCTGTTGAATGTGAGGCGAGGGAGAGGCCAGACTGATGGGTCCAGGTACAACTGCCCATCTTCCTTGTGCTCTGTCCTCCTGGGCCCTGCCTGAGTTTTCTTTCTTTAGATCTTGGCATCGCCCCTTCTAGATCCCGGCAGCTCTCTCCTTCTGGATCCAGCATCATCTCCGACTTCCTGCCTTACCCTGATCATTCTCTCTGGTTCCCAGTGAGGACCGGTCACGCCGTGGAAGGGACAATTGACCTAGAGTAGGACAAAGCTCAGCTCTATCACTCAAGAGCACTTTCAGGGCCCAAAGAAGTCACTGGCCTCCGATTTCCTCTTCTTTGAGGTCTGTGCTCAAAATTCAACTTCACAGAGATAGTAACTGCTCCAAAACAGTAACTAAAATAGTACCCACCCCATCACTCTGCAACTCTTATTTTGCTTTATTTTTCTTTGAGGTTGTTATCACCTTCTGACATTTAAATGCTTGTGTTTTCTTGTTTATTGTGTAAATATGTCCCACCAGGTATGAGCCCTATGGCAGCAGAGACCTTGTTATTTTGTTGATTTGCTATACTACTCAGTGCACAAAGCAGTTCTCGGCACGTGGTAGGCTCTCAATAAATATTTGTTGAATGAATGAATGAATGCAGTAAATCAACGTCTCAAGATTGTGGAAGCGAAGAAGCCCAGCGTGTACCCTAGGATATGGAAGAATTACTCCACTCCAGGGCTCAAGGCTCATCCCGTCTGAAATAATAAGATCGAACCTTTTCTAGCTTTTGTTTGAAACAGAAAAGGCCTAGAAAAAACACACATCAAGCATTCATTTGATCAGCCGGACTTACTACACCAGCGTGTCTAAGGTAATATTTCGTTGGATTTCACCCTGCGTTTGAAAGCAAAACAATTCGCATTTGAAAAATCTCATTACCAGCATCTTCCCCCCAAATCCATTAATGGCGTGAGCGTTTCTGGCAACTGAGATCACCTCGGATTATAGTATGAAATGCAGCTCTGGGGAAAACTGTATATTTCAAGATGTTTGTACCATTCAATTGTCAAATATTCACACAGTTATGATTCTCAAAGAAAGCACACAATGTAGGGAAATTGGTAACAAAATAAAAGCTCTGGGATGTATTGAGAGAAGGCGGCCAAAGGATTCCTCTCTGACATACCTAATCCCAGGGATGGGAAATTAAAAACCATGCCAGAATATCAATGCCTCACAAAGTGGACGGCTTGCTGCTTTTCTCGAGTGAAATTCCAGCTCTCATCTCGCATAGCAATCGCAGACTTCTTCACTGGACCTTCAAGTCTCCTTGTGACTATACTTTGTCCCATCTCGCAAACAAGGACCTCCTCTTGTCTCCATACCAGCTAAAACAGGCTATTTGCTGGTCCCCCATCTACATGGGCATCCTTGTCTTGGAGAACTTGGATGAGGTCACAGGTCATTTGAGCTGGAGAGGCCCTGGAGGTCATCTAGCATAGTGCTTACTGAATCAGTTCTGTAAGATTGAAAAATGAAAACAAATAAATAATAAAATGAGGGTTAGGGTTCTGTAGTCAGATGAATTTGGGAACCACAGCATACGATACCTGTCTCTTGCGGCTTCCTGATTCCCACAGGTATGTTCAAGGATCTGAGGCATCTTGTGGTCAAGACATTGGTTTAGATTTATTCAACCTTGTGTTGCCCAAAATGAGCTGACTATGCAGCTTTTGATTTAACCATATAGACTACTCTAATTCTATGGACAACTAGTGTACAAGTTGGAATTTCCCAGCTTCAACAGATGAGGAAATGAAAAACAAGGAAGCTACTCAAAGTGCTCGATCCCTTGGATGGTTGACACAGAATTAAGAAGAATTGGACATCAGAGACCATGACACCCAGCCCGGAGCTCTTCTATTGCCCTACCCTCAATTCTCTTCAATTTCACCCCACCCCACCCCATTCCATCCCATCCCATAAATGTTTCTCGAACTGCTGTCATGGTCAAGTGCTGTTCTAGGTGCTGGGGACACACTGGTGGACAGACTGACACGCGACTGAACAGTACAGAATAGGGCTTTGCCCTTTCAGAGCTAAGGGTCTGGTTTATGCTTCTTATCTTTTCCTACCCCTTTTCTCTTTTCCCCTCCCCTCTTTCCTCCTTTTCTCCCTCATTCCAGATCATCCTTCACTCTGAACAAGATAAATGGCCCTCAAACTCCACTTAAATTGCATCACTCCCTGGGTGAGGACCTTAATTGATTTCATTTCGTTTCTCAGAACAGTTTTAGTCTGTGGGACTGGGAGCTCCGTGACAGCAGGGCTGGAGCTGGTCTCGTGTGCTTGGGGGAGTGGGACACCTCGCTCCCAGTGGGCGCTCCGTGGATACCAGCCCTGTGGCTGAATGCGTGTCAATCTTGCCACGCATCCTCAGGCCTTAAACTCTTAACTCCTTCTCAGCTCAGCCTGAGAACTTCCCTCCAAGCCAGGCAGTAGCCCCGATGGGCTCTTTCTACAACCCCAGACTCTTTTCTTGAACTGATTTCCCAGCAAGGGAAAGTTGAGCACTCAATTCCTCCCCTGTTGTTTCAAATCTTGTATCAAGCTCAATTTCTCATCTCTTTTAGGAAGACTTCAATGAAATGTCACTGAAATCCTTCCTCTCTCCTTCGCTTCTTTCTTCCACCCTTTCCTTTCTTCTTTCCTTCCTTCATTCATGTGTTCCTTCCTTCCTTCCTCCCTCTCTCTTTCCCTCCCTTCCTTCCATTCTGAGTCTTCATGAGATATTATGCCAAGTCCTGTAGCTACAAATATGAATCATGAGTAACCTCTGTCTTTGGGGATCTCTTGGTCCAGTGGGGAAGACAGACAAGTAAATAGTCATAATGCAGTATGTGCACAAGCTGCCAGAGATCTACAACTGGAGACCCAGCTCATGTGGGGGGCAGGGAAGTCCTCTAGAAGAATGGGACATACAAGCTGGCACTTGAAGTTCAATATGAAGTAAGATAGGAGAAAGCTTGCTGGGGTTGCTGGGGAGGAAGGGGGTATCATAGATAATTAAGAGCTTCAAACCAGGGATATCACATCCACTTAGTTCCCCAGCTATTGGGAACCTTCTCATTTCTAAATGTTATTTGGAGTCAGACCTTGGATCAAGTCCCTGCTCTGTAACTTACTATCCTTTGACAAGTTACTTAGCTTCAGTGTATCACTTGTGAAATCACAATATTCCTATCCTAGCACAGGGCTTGGCATGCAATAGGTGCTCAAGAAATATATATTGAAGAAATGAATGAATATCTACCTACCAGTGTTTATTGTAGAAATTATATAAAGTGATAAAGTTGCTTGTCCTGTGTTAGTTCCTTGTCTTTTTTTTCTCTCTAAGAGATATACAGAGAGAACAGGGTGTTGGCTAAGACTTGAGAGGAACTGTAGTTCATAGCTTCCATCCCAAAAAGATTCCCTAACTTCCATTCGCTTCTCTTTTTTAACTTTGAACTTCAGACTTGACCTTTCTATTTAAATCCAGATAATAAGCTAAATGGAGCCCATTTTTTACCTCCTCTACTTCCTCCCCAATTTTTTCTGAACAAAATGTCCATGCAGCAGCAGAAATGTTGGCAACGATCCCTTTTACAGTTGCCAGGTGATCATATTTTACTAAATCTGACTTTTTCTTCCTTCATTCTCCTGACCTCTTGCCCTGCATTAAAATGAAATCTTTCTGTGTCACAGTCCCCGGTCAGTGGCTGGCCACCGCTTCCTCTGCTATCATTTTCTCCTCTAATGAGTTCCTCCAATGAGCTTTGCTGACCTTGCTGCCACTGAGGTAGAATCATATTTTAGGCATTCCTTTTGCCTCAGCAGAAACTGGGAGGGCACGAGTGACAGAGGACAATTGGCATTTATCAAGTAAATAACTGTGCCAGTCACTGTGTTTGCTGCCTCACATTCAGCCTTGCATTTAATCCTTACAGTGGCCCAAGTTGTTTTAGAGATCTGGAGTTCAGGCTTCACCCCAGGACAATTAAATCAGAATCTCAGGGGTGGAGTCTGGACATTGGTATTTTAGAACAGTGCTCCAGGCCATTCTCACTTTCAGGCAAAGTTTTAAATCACCCCCTTACGCCAGGCTGCCTCTCATAAAGCATGTTTCAGAGAATTTTAGGTGCCATCAATGCAAATACTAGTTTGAGGATGAAAAGGCACTTGGAGTGGGCCCATTGGTTATGGTCATAACTTTGTTCTTAGGCAAGAACAAATAGGTTCGCAAGGGAATACTTAAAATACTATTTAAGCCTTTTGCTGAGACTTAAGGGAACATGAAATGCTAACAGCTGCAGTACCCAGGGGACATTTGATAAAGTAACACAGGAAGGAAGTCTAGCATGAATAGCTTTCCTGCATAACAAGGGACAATATTTTCATGTGGCACACATCCTAAGAGTTGTGTTTAATGGTGCCAGAAGTCAGCATGGCTTGTTGAGATCTTAGACTCCACCACTGCTGAGGATCACAGAGAAGTCAATCCAGAAAGATGTGTGTATTTTGTAAATGATACACCAAAAAGTTTATCACCTTCATTTATTGAGGTTAATAGAGCTTCTAACAGGAAGTAACTGGTCTACTATGCACTCCTATAAGACATGGAATAGTCAAAGTTGTGGTTGTCTTGATATTGTTTCAGAATCATTTCCCTAAGCTCCATGTGCCTGAGGGTTCCACTAATTTTTTGGTGAGGAGAGATTCAAATTAATAGCAGAAATGTAGAAGAGCAATGCTGGTTATTATTCATAGTTTGATGCATATTTGTTTATATAAATCATATACTAAACTGTTTTAATACTTTCCATATTATGTATTCAGTCATTTCCCATCATTATGTTATTAACTCAAGGAATCCTTCCATATTTGTGAAGATGGATATTTAATAATAGTAAGCCTCGTTGAAGATTGTGTCCAAGTTCTCTAACCCTGCATGGGAAGACAATGCAAGCATGCCATTTTACAGGAACATCTTTGTGTTCTCTCGGGGAAAGCACTTAAAATAAGTATGACCTCAATCTTACACCCTTTAGGATTAAAAAAATCAGTGTGTTAAAATTTATTATTAGATCAAAGTAGCTTTAAGTGGCCAGACATACAAATGGATCCCAGAAAAATGTACAAAACACCCTTGACTTCTCCCTGGAGTCATTTCAACAACAAACTATTGTTCAACAATATTATGGAGTGGTTATGAATATGGGTAAGTCATTTAACTTCTCTGGGTCCCAAAGCTCTCTTCATTGAAATGAAGATGACAATGATAGCTACATCAGAAGATTTCTATGGGGATTAAATCAGTTAATATCTATAAAGTGTGTGGAACAGTGCCTGGCACATGATAAATGCTATGTGTGTGTTTCTTCAATTAAGGCAAATGAACTCCCCCTAGTATTTCTGCAACTTCATTGTGCATCTGTGTCACACAGGGATCTTGTAGAAATGTAGGCTCTGTTCCAGGAGGTCTGGGCCTGAGATGCTGAATTGCTAACAAGCTCACAGGTGATGCTTATGCTGCTGACTCATGGCCATGCTTTGGGTGATGGGGGGTCCACATCCTTCAGTAGGATGGGAGCTGGAAGGAGTCAGGTGTGACTCATCTGCTCTATTTAATGGCACTCAGCTCTCCAACAGGTGTGGGCATTTAATGGTGAACTCTTGGGATCAGCCTTTTGCAAGAGAAAATCTGAGCTTGCACGCTAACTATATTCTTTCCTTAACTCTTTCACTTGTTACTCCTGGATCCAACAGCTTCTGATCAACCATGGTATGCGACCCATTGGCTTCACTTTGAATAAGAGAGAGAATTAGGGCTTTGGACCCCACTAATGGAACATCTTAGAGGCCAGTCAGCATGTCACCCTGCCAATATGGGCCTCCTCATGTTAAGGGTCTAGAGAGTTAGTAGTGTGCAAAAATGATTTGTCTCATCTCTGGCTTGGGCCCCCTGTGCAAATGCTGTCTTTGTTATCCTGCTTTGGTAATTTCTAGGCCCAGGGGAAGGGGGCTACGGGAAAGACAAGACCGTCCCTCTTAACACCAATAAAAATGGTGTCCACTACATTCAAATTATTTAACATTCTGCTTATTTAGTTTTCAAATGCATGATCTACAATTAGATGAAATTTGCTGCCCACCACGTAAGATGGTGAAAGCTTCTTAATTGTCTCCTGGTTACAGTGCGTGTGTTTAAAGCATCTGAAAATATTTTTAGGAAAATTAGACCCTGAAACATATAAAAGGCCACTTGTTGAGATAAACACCAGAAGGGATAAGGGTGAATCGAGAATGTTCTATGCTGTGATTATATTCGTTGTTTCTTATTATATCTGCTAGCTTAGCATTCGGGTGCTTATTTATTCTTGGCTTCCTGGGTCTCAGGTAGGGGATGGTGCCATTTGATAAGTGGTAAAGACCAGACTATGTTATACTTATGGTTTGACCAACCAATTGTATATACTTAAGGGCAGTATTGTAAACTCACTAGAAAATTAGCATATTTCTCCAAGTAGCCATGTTTCAAAAGGGGAGGGGGAGGAGCAATCATAGGTAATGTTGAAAAATAAATCATTTTCAAAAACCAAATTTTTTTTTTTTTTTCTTGAGACAGAGTCTCGCTTTGTCACCCAGGCTAGAGTGAGTGCCGTGGCGTCAGCCTAGCTCACAGCAACCTCAATCTCCTGGGCTCAAGCGATCCTCCTGCCTCAGCCTCCCAAGTAGCTGGGACTACAGGCATGCACTACCATGCCCGGCTAATTTTTTCTATATGTATTAGTTGGCCAATTAATTTCTTTCTATTTCTAGTAGAGACGGGGTCTCGCTCTTGCTCAGGCTGGTTTCGAACTCCTGACCTCGAGCGATCCGCCCGACTCGGCCTCCCAGAGACCTAGGATTACAGGTGTGAGCCACCGCGCCCGGCCAAAAACCAAATTTTTAATGAAAACAAATATTTTAACATAATTTGGTGCCTTTCACTGATGCCTACCTATCAATAATCACTGCTTAATTGCATCTTGATCTTTTCTCAGGCCTTTGCACAGGTTTTATATTCCCTATTTCTCCTTTAAAAAATATTGAATCTTAGTGTTTTTTAATTGACATAATTAATATACAGTGAAATGCACAGATCTGAAGAGTCCAGTTTAATGAGTTTTCACGGATGCATATGGCCATGTCACCCACATCCCTGCCAAGACACAAAACATTTCCATCACCCCCAAAACATGCTTCCTGCCCTTTTTGGCCCATTCTGCCTCCTCTCCCATTCCCAGTCCTCCTTGGATCTCAAGACAACACTGGTCTAATTTCTTTCAACAGAAATTAATTTTGCCTGTTCTAGGACTCCATATAAATTGAATTTTACAGGGTGGATTCTTTTGTATCTGGCTTTTTTTCAACACGATGTCTTTAAGGTTCATTCCTGTTGTTGCACATGTCAGTAATTCATTCCTCTTTATTGATGAGTAAATTCTGCTGTACGATTATAACTCAATTGTTCATCTGTACAGTTGATGAAGGACATTTGTGTTATTTCTAGTTTTTGGCTATTATTGATGCTGCTGCTGTGAATATTCTTGTACAAGTCTTATTGTGCACATGTGTTTTCATTTCTCTTGGGGAAACACATAGCAGTGGAATTGCTGGGTCATAGGCCGTTTTATGGGAAATGGCCAGATGGATATCCAAAGTGACTACAACATTCTACAATCCTGATATTAACGTCTGAGAGTTTGCATTGCTCCTCATCCTTACCAACATCGGTGTTGTCAGTCTTTTAAATGTCAGCCATTGTGGTGTGTCTGTGATTGTATCTCTTTTTTGTCCTAATTTGCATTTCCCTGACCACTAATGCTGTTGAGTCCCCTTCCCATGTGCTTATTGGCCACTCATGTATTTTTTTTTATTTTTTATGCCACGGACAGGAGTTTTGCCACTCATGTATTTTTGTATGTGTGTGTGTGTGTGTGAATTCCCTGTTCAAGTCTTTTTACTAATTTTAAAAATTGAGGTTTTTTTTTTCATGATTGAGGTTTGAGGCATTCTTTATGTATTTTGCATTCAAGGACTCTTCAGATATATATTTTGTGAATATTTGCACCTATTTATTCTTTTTCTCCATGACGTCTTTTCATAAAAAATGTTTTTAATTTTGATAAAGTCTAATTTATTAAAATTTCCCCTTATGATTTTTTTCTCATCCCTGTCTAAGAAATCTATGTCTGCCTCAAGGTCGCAAAGATATTTTTCTGTGGTTTCTTCTGGCAATTTTATTGTTTTAAACATTTATGCTAATAGGTACAATCCATGTTGAATGAGTTTTTGTGTATGATGTGGGGAATGAATTATTGTAAGACTTCTGCTTACAAAAGACACTGTTAAGAAAATTAATAAGCCATAGAGGGGAAAATATTCATAACACACATCTGACAAAGGATATGTAAAAGATAGATAAATAATGTTCTATATGATATGTATGTAGAACTACGGTCTCCGATCTCTGGGCTGTGTGGACCAGTACCAGTCTGTGTCAGATATTCTATTTTTTAGTTTTAGAATTTCTACTGGGCTCTTTTTAAATTAATAGATTTATTTTTAAAGTGTTTTTAAATTAACAGTGAAATTACAGAGAAAGTACAGAGAGTTCCCATAAACCCTATCCCTTTCCTCTCCACCCCGCTAGTTTTCCCTATTATTCTACAGTTCTATGAATTTTGCCACATGTGTAATGCCATGTACTTATCATTATAGTGCCTTAAAGAATAGTTTCACCACTGTAACTTCCCCTGGCCCCTCATATTCATCCCCCCTTCCCTCCCTTCCCCCAAACTCCTGGCAACCAGTGATATTTTTACTCTCTCTATAATTTTGTCTTTTCCAGAAAGTCATGTAGTTGAAATCAGACAGTATTTAGCCTTTTCAGACTGGCTTCTTTTCACTTAGCAGTATGCATTAAAGCTTCCTCTATGTCTTTATCTGGCTTGATAGGTAGTTTCTTCTCCTTGCTGACTAATATTCTATTGTAGGGATGTACCATAGTTTTATCGAAGGATATCTTGGTTACTTCCAATATTTGGCAATTATGTATAAAACTTCTGTAAACATCCACGTGCAGGTTTTTGTATGGACATACGTTTTCAACTCATTTGGGTAAATACTGGAGTATGATTGCCGGATCATATGATAAATTTCGCTTTGTACAAATCTATCAGCTGTCTTCCAAAGTGACTGCCCCATTTTGCATTCCCACCAGCAAAATGAACAAAAGTTCCTGCTGCCTCCTCACCAGCGTTGAGTATTGCCAGTGTTTTGGATTTTGGCCATTCTAAAATTCTTTTTTTTTTTTAATAGATTCCCTTTCTCACTTGAAATTTTCTATTTTTTCCTTTTTTTTTTATAATCTTGTTTCTTTAAGTCTTTAAATAAAGAGCTGTTTGAGGTTCCTTGTCTCCTAATTCTATCTTCTCTGACTTTTCTGAGTCTGTATCTACTGACTGATTTTTCTCCGGGTATGCAGCTCACTTTCTACTTCACATGTCTAGTAAAGTTCTTTTTTTTTTTTTCTTTCCTAAATTACATGCTGAATTTTTTGGATGCTAAGTTTTTGGATGCCTAAGATTTTGATGCCTCCTTCATTCTGCAGTGTTCTGTTTTGTTTCAGCAGAAAGTTAATTTACTTTTGAATCTCTTAATTCATTCAAGGATTTTTAAAAAGCTTTGTTTGTGTGGGTCGAGTGCTAGGTTAGTCCTATTTCAAAAGTGTGGTCCTTTTACTCTCTCTGCTGAATGCCTGGGATGTTATACGATCTTTGTGTACTCAGTGGTTGGAGCTCAGCCTCTCTGCTCCATGTGAGCATGTGCAGTTCAGCTCCCAGTGGCCCAGGTCTTTATTTCTCCCACTAGTTGTTCTTTGCCTGGCCTCCTGCAGTCATGCCTGCAGTATTCATTCAGAGCTTGGTATTCAGCCAAAGACCCAAGATAACTCCTGTGCAAATTTCTGGAGTTTTTCTCCCTAGGTACCTACTTTCCAGTTCCATGTCCTTCAAATTCCAGCCACCTAATCACTGTCACCTCCAGTTTTCGTCCCCTCATCCCAATGAGGTGTCAGGCCATAATGCGTTACCCAGGCAGAAAGTCAGGACCACCACGGGCCTCACCTCATAGCAGACCTGTGTGTGCTGCCTGCGGCCTACATCCGAAGTCACTTATTTCGTGTATTTTGTCCAGGGTTATAGTTATCTACTACAGGAAGAAAATTCTCATATCTGTCATCCCTTCGTGGCCAGCAAGCAAACATCCCACTCATTCCTCATGTGTTGAATTTAACATTCTTTTCATGAATGTTGTGTTTCAAAGCATTCATCTTATTTGGTATCTGAGGCTCTTGCCTTTTCCTTCTTCTTTCTAGAAAACGGATCTAATAATATCTTGGTATTTAATAATGCTTCAGTCTAAAAATATTAATTAGCATTTGTTAATTAGCATTAACTAGCACATACCCAAGACACTCTCTGGAATTTTTATCCCCATGGAGAAGAAATAACCATTATCCCACTATTGCAGGTGAGAGAAGGAGGTCTCGGATTGGAGGAACAATTTGTCTAACACCCCTCTCAGCTGGTAGGTGCTGATTTTCTGATTCAAAGGCTCTGTCCTTGTAGATTTTACTCTAGTTTCTACTGTACTTATAAATTTTCAAACCAACTTCTGAGAGCCTCAGGGCTCAAAGAGTGAGAGAGAACCACCCCATCCCACCCCACCTTCCCGCTGTTTGAACTAGAGCCGATACGCTTTTACATGTTTAAATTATCAGAGTTCCATGCAAAATATCTTAAAGGAGTTTCTATGGTAAATCTGTGGGAAACGATTGTGCCTCACAAGGCATTAATTTGCCCTTTTAAAGTATCGGTTTCTTCCAAGCCGAGCAAGAAACTGCTAAGGAAGAGAGAAAAAAGAAAATCTGCGTGGTTTCCTGTTCCTTATTGTGTGGTGTTCTGGAAAGTTCACGGGTTCTTCAGTTAGAACCCTGGCTTTACCACTAAGCCTGGTCTCTCTAAGGTGACGGCCTTCAGTGACCCCCCGCCTTCCACTGTTGGTGTCCTTGGGTGGCCCCTTCTTCTTGAGCGTGGGCTGGACCTACAGACATGCTTCTAATGAATAGAATACAGCAATGGCGATGGGTGTCACTTCCAAGATCAGGCTACAGAAAGACAGCAGCTCCTACCTGGGGTGCCCTGTCTTGCTCCCTCACTCTCTCAGGGGGAAGCCAGCTGCCATGTGGATGGGCTGTCCTATGGAGAAGCTCTTGTGGCAAGAGAAGGACATCTCTCACCGACACCTGGTGCCTTGCTCTGAACTTGGAAGCACTTCTTCCCCTAGTCGAGCCAATACCTTGACTGCAGTCTGTGCAAGACCCTGAGCTACACCACGCTTGCTTTCCTGATCCTGAGAAACTGGAAAATAAATGTTCTCAAGCTGCTAAATTTTGGGAGAATTCGTCCTTAGCAATAGCTAACACATACAGTGTGTGGCACAAAGCTGATGCTCTGTTAATAACAGTTTCCTTCTTTTCCATCCCCAGGGAATGGGGACGTTTGCAGCAGCCTGGCTCACACTGGACTCTGACCTAACAGAAGCAGAATTCTCCGCTGCCAGCACCCCAAGTTCTCCATTCCTTCTTGATAAACATTTCCTTTGAGTTGGTGAGAAGGAAAACTTACATCCTAGTTGCTATCAGAGCCAAGATTTCTAATGCACAGAGTGACAGGCTACAAGCAGGTGGAGTTATGGACATGAGAACTCATGTCATGGGATACCTTTTATAAAAAAGCTCTTGGATGCCCTGTAGATTTAAAACAGACACAACATGGCTCCACCACATGGAGGTGATCCTACACCATTTCCTGTATGAGCGTATAAGGCCTGTGTGTTCTTTGTGAGGTTTTTTTTTTTTTTCTTCTTTTCCTTTCCTTCTTTCTTACATTCTCTGGCTGACTGTAAAGTCAAGTCTTTTCCCGTGGGATCACTTTGAACTTTTATCTCTTCTATAGGTTCTCATCTTTCAGTTCCCTCTTCCCTCGTTCCAAGCCATGAATCAACAGCTCACAAACTGAGAAGCCCAGGTCTTTGGGGTATTGTTCATTTGATAAAACGTCCATCCCTTGGAGATGCAGATGCTTGTGGAATTTCTGGGGTCCGCCTGCTGGAACGAGTTTCATCTGATCTCCCTGAGAGTGGAAGAAAGTCAAAGTCTTAGATCTAAAGAGAGATTACTGAGGACTTGTCCTTTACTTTGTTTTTAAACTTTGAAATTCCAGAAAAGGCACCCCCCACTTTTTTTCTTTTGGTTTCTTGTGGAATCTCAAGTTGGGGGGAAAATCTCTAATAGATATTTGCCAGCCCCAGGCATCTGGTCCAGAGGAGGCGAGAAGCAACTTTACTTTTTTAAAAAAATGTTATTTCTATAAGATGATCAAGGTTCAAGAATATACTATGTTCTGGAAGGAAATTGCTTGAAAGACATGGTCCATCCATTCATTCCTTCCTGGAGTCAGCACGCAGAAACCTGCAGAGGCCAGCAGGTTTACAGATGTGTGACGCTCGGTGAAAGGCAACAGGGAGGAGCGTGCTTTTAATATACACATACAGTGTGCATATGCATTGTGTATATTATAGGGTATATATACAGACACATATTTGTATACACTAGGCACTTAAAAACTGAGCCTGCAAGCCCAGGGACTTCTCTGTAGCATCACACACCATATGTCACTGAAGGCTGCACATCTGGGGAGTGACACCTCCCCACCCCCAGCCCCAATTTGAATGCTTTTCCTCTTTGGTTTGATGCCATCTGACTGTAGGTACCACCACCCACCTCTTGGGAGCAGAGTCAACGCCTGCATCGTTCATCGGTATGTCCCCTTCATGCCTAGAACAGTGCCCGACTCACAGGGGCCCTCAATAGATTGCGGAATGTGTTGAATAAATAAGGATGGGCCCTGTGAGAATTTTCAGAGAATTCACTCTGAAATGTCACTGATCACCATGTTCATTACATATCGTGGTGTTCTCTTAAGAGGAACTTTTGGGAAAATGGACTTTCTTGTTTTAGAACGAGGAATAATTGTACCTCTCCTGACCAACAACAACAAAAATACTTTGCCTCAATTTTGTGCACGTATTTCCTCTTCAGGCTGGCTGCCAGGAAACCCAAAATGTGTGTTTGATCGGCATCTCGTGATTACCTGAGACTTGGTGGGATGCTTTCTGTTAATTAGCACCTGACCTGCATTTCCTTTGATGCATGCTTTTCTCTTCAACTTCTAATGCTTTGCGATTGTGCTATATTGCAGGCATCTTTGGAAGTGGTCTTAAGTTCCAGGAAATGAATGAATAAAAAAATAAGGCAGTGGAAAGGGAGCAGGAATTCAAGAAGAGGGTGGGAAGAGAACAAGGGTGGGGTGAAGGAAAGAAAGAGATTCCTTGGAGAAGGAGGGAGACAACAGGGGAGGAGGCATGTGAGGTTTAGATGGCAAAATGCAAGGCTGGGATCCCCTCAGGGCCTCCGGGACATCTCAGGTCTATGGGGCCTGTTAGATTTTGACAATGAGATGGCATCTGGCTGGGTCAATTCATAGTCTAGAACTCTCTGAAGATAGAGAAGGAGACAAAAACCTGTCCTCTGGAGCCAGGTTGACATCTCCACTTTGGCACTGTGAGCCGCTGTTTGCTTTCTCTGAACCTCAGTTTCATTATCTGTAAAATGGGGCCAATAACAAGACCTTTTGTTGAGGTTCTCCCGAGGTGCAGTGGCTGCTAGGTTGGAGCAGCACGGGACAGGGAAAAGAGGAAAGTCTCAATTTCCCCTCATCTACCATCAGGCCTTTCTCGAAAGTTTTATGTTTTCTTTGAACCCAAACATGACTGGCTCTCCTTTGCTGGTCTCTGTATTTGCCCAAAACCTCCCATCTGTAGGCAAATCCCACAGAACTTGGCATCAGTAAAAATCACAAATATAATTCCCAATGTTTTGATCAATAATGCCGTTTTTTTTAAACTGAACCCTTCTTCTCAGGGGGACCGTGGGAATACATTGCATTCTACATTGCAGATCAAAACTCTTCATCTTAAATACCCCATTTTCCGAAGTTTCTCTTCATACCACTGTCAAATCTACCTCTCTTTCTCTCTCTTTCTCCATCAAATACTTTTCTTCTTCTTTCCCTCCCAGGCTATTTTCCCTCCAGCTTCCTTCTCTCTCTTGGGCTCTTCTGATTTCTGTAGACATTTATTTAGAAAAAGGATCATCAAACTTTTTCTGTAAAGGGCCAGAAAGGAACTATTTTATGCTTTGCGGGCTCCATGTTCTCTGTTACAACTATTCAACTCTGCCCTTGTAACAAGAAAGCAGCCATAGACAATAAGTAGATGAGTGGGTGTAGCTGTGTTCCAATAAAACTTTATTTATAAAAGCAGGAAGTAGACAGGATTTGCCCTATGGGTTATAATTTGCTGACTTCTGATTCTGAGCAATTTAGGAATCTTTTGTCCTCCGCAGTATATATTTCTTGCTATTATCCCATGCAGCAAAACTGAAGATTCTGTTATAGATATACTTACCTTTGGAGGCACAGAAAGATAAATGGGGTGTTATAAAGCATAGTTAATTTTTTTTTTTTTTACATCTCATGTTGATTAAACAGGTTAGGGCAGTTCTTTGCCCACAATGCCAATAAGACATATCTGTCAGGTATGACTGAGCCCTGGGGATGAGTGTGACAGGTCTTCCCATCCCTAGGGATGAGTGTGACAGGTGGGTGTCTGTACGGATATGATGCTTGGGACTCTAGTTCTCTGAGCCAACAATGGGAAAAGCTAAGGTTCTGTATTGTGGCCTGTTTCATTTTCTCATTTGATTCTGGGAAGATCCTCATGTCAAATTGTATAATGGAAAAAACACTGGACTCGCGCCAGGGATCTGACTGCTATTTTCGTTGTATCGCTACTTCTGTGTTTGACCTTGGCAAGTCCATTCGTCCTCTGGTTTAGGTCTGTGAGGTATGAAACTAGAATCTTTGGTCACCAACTTTTCAGCAGTTGATTCTTATTCCCATGAAATCTTACCTGGAGCTCAGATGTGTGGGGGATAAAGGAGGGCTGGGGAGCCCTGTCTGATGCCCCTTTGTCCTGACGCTCGATCTCACCCCACTTGAGGGGGACCCTGAAATATCTCTGCTGGAATCCAGGGGTTCCAGGCAGCAGGCAGAAAGACCACTGAGCTATATGATTCTTTGATTTTTCTATCCCATCTGCTGCCATCCACCCTGCATTCTAGATACCTCCCAAAATTATTTATACTTCTTCAAAATTGTGGGACTTTTCATAAATTTGTTTTCAAATACTAACTCAATTTCTTTTGCGATGGGCTTTCCACTTTTCCCCATCTTCATTCTCACCTTCCAGACTCCTATTTATCCTGTATGGCCCTCCTTGAACATCCATTCTTGGGTTCATGTAACTAACTGGCTTCTTATAGAAAACTTTGGAAAGATCCATTGATTCCAGAAGAATCTCAAGTCACAACTTTCGGTTATCTTTGTTTCTTCCTGCACCTTAGAATTTAGGAGGATCTAAGTTCCTATCAGCAAGACTCGATGTTGTTCTGGCAGGACCCTCTCTGGAGGAAGCACGTTAGCTCAACCCCAGTGCCTGGAACCTTTGGAACATCCATGTTTGCCCTTTATGGAGTTGGCCACAATATTACTGAGCTCATTTTCTTTAGGTTTCTTTTTCCTTATTTGTACATTTTTTTTTTTTTTTGCAGCCATCGCAAGGTAAGGATGTTTGGTGGAAGAAAATAGAATTCTGTCAGTGGAAGAGAATTTGGGGACAGAACGAGTTGCAGGTGGAAAAAGTTTCCTGTGAGCAGTCAGTGGAGGATGTTAGAAAGTCAGGCTCCCCAGCACTGTATGCGAACATCCCAAATCCTTACCACGAGGATTCTGTATTAAGGGACTCCATTTTGCTCTGAATGGGTGACAGATTCTGCAGTCCCTGCTGTGTCCAAATCATACTGCTCTATTGTCCACTCAGTCCCCTCCTGGCCTCAGAGGGAGATGGGCTGCTGGGATGGAGCTGTGGCTTGGCCAAACCTGACATAACCGGAGACAGGGATGCAAAGACAAAAAAAGAAAATGATTTAGAGTGGAAACCAGCAGAAATGACAATTAGCCGCAGGTTGCTAAATCTTGATTAGTCTCCCACTGTGCTGTTGTTCTGTAGCCAACTTAGATGATCCAAAGACAATGTTTAAGAGCCATTTTAACGAAATTAGCAACCATGTAAAACCTTCGCTCAGAATATATGTTTATCTGCACTTTCCCCTGAACAATTTCTGTCAAGGAATCACATGAAAAATCGAGGTCAGGAAAGACTGAGGAAGAGTGAAGATGTTTCTAGCAAAGCATCACACGCTTGATGTAAACTCTGTGCAAATGAATGAGTTTTAATTGTTCTCTTTAACTAGGTGACTGTCCTGGTTTATAGCTGTGGTCATGGAAAATGATAAGTGACATCCGCCTTTACTTTTAAAATTATTCCAATCTGGACAATAAATTATATGGTCACTCTACGTCTATGTAGAGAAAATTCTAGTCTCCTAGAAGATTCTGGAGGGGATGCTATAGCCAAATCCCTTTTTATAAATGATCCAAAACTTGAGACTTTTTTTTTTTTTAAAGATCTCAAACCATGGAACATTT